TGCGGACGCGACGCTGATTATTGCTAATTATTGGCAGTCGGCCGCCCTGGGGGCGCCTTTGCAAAGCTTATATCTCCACAATCGCTTGACCGATTCACTTGCGGTCTTTTGTGTGGGATAGCTTCTTCCTTTCTCACACGTAGTGTGCTACCCTCGATACGTATGGGTGACCCCTAATGCACGTGCCACGTGCAAAACGAAGAGGTGTCAGTTCGGTAACAAGTCTAATAACTCTGTAGTTAGTTTGCCGATTGCACTGATATTTGGCATGGATGTAGGCACCCGCCGTGCAATGCATTTCCATGTGTCACGGTTGGGGTGCCGCTGCACGTGCGCACGGGCAGGGTGACGCTTCCAGATCTCGAGAACGGCTGGGCCGATTGTGATCAAACTTGGCACACCGTTAGGGATCGGCGAGTAGGGTGCCGTGCACAAGTCAGATGGGGCCCAGTTTGCACGTGCGCACGTGCAGGCTGACGCTTCCATATCTCAAGAACGGCTGGACCGACTGTGCTCAAATTTGGCATACTACTAGAGACTGGTTAGTAGGGTGCCGTGCACAAGTCAGTAAGTATGTATTTTCATGTGCCGCGGTTGGGGTGCAGCTGCACGTGCGCACGTGTAGGGGTCGTTTCCCGATCTTGGAAACGGCTGGGCCGATTCAGATTAAATTTGGTACATCACTAGAAACCGGCGAATAGAGTGCCGTGCACAAGTCAATTGGGCCCAGGCTGCACGTGCGCACGTGCAGGGTGTCGCTTCCAGATCTAGAAAACGGCTGGGTCGATTGCGCTCAAATTTGGCACACCGCTATAGACCGGCGAATAGGGTGCCGTGCACGTCAGTCCGTAGCACACCGACTCCGGTCTGCACGTGCAAGGCTCATGTTCTCGTTTGGCGGCGGGCGTTTTTGCTGCGTTTCCAAAGGTGCTTGCTCAAACAACCTGCGGTCCCGCGATGCGGAGCCCAGCATCGCAGATGCTGGTAACCGCAGGTTGTTTGAAAAGACAAACACTATTCGTTAGAATTGTAACCGCAGGTTGTTTGAAAAGACAAACACTATTCGTTAGAATTGTGTTTTTCTATTGAAAAACAACCGGAGCGGTCGTTCTCCGGGCTATGTTTTGCAAGTCTGGCAGCGAATCGAGACATCTTGACGGGGGCCTAGACGAAATGTACAATCTTCGTAAAAAGTTCAGGGTATGGGCTCCCGGAGGCGATCTACCTGATGGCACTAACCGCAGGTTGTTTGAAAAGACAAACACTATTCGTTAGAATTGTGTTTTTCTATTGAAAAACAACCGGAGCGGTCGTTCTCCGGGCTATGTTTTGCAAGTCTGGCAGCGAATCGAGACATCTTGACGGGGGCCTAGACGAAATGTACAATCTTCGTAAAAAGTTCAGGGTATGGGCTCCCGGAGGCGATCTACCTGATGGCACCGGTCGCTACTCGCTAAGAAGTCTTTTGCGCGTGGCACGTGCGATTCCATTTTCCCCATGTTAAGTCAATGGGGTTTTGGACACTTTTTGCGCGATCGCCAATAGCGGGAAAACGAGCCAAGAAGGAGGTGGTTTTCTTCCCAGCATTTTATGGCAAACACGTTCCGGTACACGCCCGTGTGCGCCGCATACCCGCCAGAATCTCGTGGCACGTGGCACGTGCGATTCCATTTTCCCCATGTTAAGTCAACGGGGTTTTGGACATTTTTTGCGCGATCGCGAATGGCGGGAAAACGAGCCAAGGAAGAGGTGGTTTTCTTCCCAGCATTTTATGGCAAACACGTTCCGGTACACGCCAGTGTGCGCCGTATACCCGCCAGAATCTCGGAACACCTCTATGCACAAGGTCAAAGTTGGAATTTTGCTGTGTCCCATGTTAAGTCAATGGACGGCGATGCCGAGACTTTGCAGAGACATTTTCATTCGTTCATTGTACAAAATTTTCGAGATAGAATTTGCCCAAACTCTTATAGCTTGTACAGGAAAGAGCGTAGTACATGCTGGTATGCTTCGTTAAGCTGGCAGAAATCGTTTTTTTCTAATAAAGTTCGTTGGAAAATGAAAATTTTTAACATGGAAAGTCAATGGGAGCGTCTTTATTCCTCTGTAACTTTTATCTTTAGTAAGACATATAGGTGAAAAGTTAATATAATATACAACTTCTGATGCTCTTTCCACTGGTGCATAGAACGTCACTGCACGATGTGCCGTTTTTAAGAAAAGCTGTAAAAAATCAAGGCTCGACTGTGACTTGAACCCAACCACATTAGAGTATAGGAACAGGTGACGGGGATACCTCCCGTGTGCGGATGCGACACTGATTAATTGCTAAATATTAGCAGTCGGCCGTCGTGGGGGCGCCTTTGCAAAGCTTATATCTCCACAACTGTTTGACCGATTCACTCGCGGTCTTTTGTGTGGGACAGCTCCTCCCTTTCTTACACGTACTGTGCTATTCTCGCTGCGTATGGGTGACCCCTAATGCACGTGCCACGGGCAAAACGAAGAGGTGTCAGTTCGGTAACAAGTCTAATAACTCTGTAGTTAGTTTGCCGATTGCACTGATACTTGGCATGGATGTAGGCACCCGCCGTGCAATGCATTTCCATGTGTCACGGTTGGGATGCCGCTGCACGTGCGCACGGGCAGGGTGACGCTTCCAGATCTCGAGAACGGCTGGGCCGATTGTGATCAAACTTGGCACACCGTTAGGGATCGGCGAGTAGGGTGCCGTGCACAAGTCAGATGGGGCCCAGTTTGCACGTGCGCACGTGCAGGCTGACGCTTCCATATCTCAAGAACGGCTGGACCGACTGTGCTCAAATTTGGCATACCACTAGAGACTGGTTAGTAGGGTGCCGTGCACAAGTCAGTAAGTATGTATTTTCATGTGCCACGGTTGGGGTACAACTGCACGTGCGCACGTGTAGGGGTCGTTTCCAGATCTTGGAAACGGCTGGGCCGAATGCGATTAAATTTGGTACACCGCTAGAGACCGGCGAATAGAGTGCCGTGCACAAGTCAGTTGGGACCCAGCTTGCACGTGCGCACGTGCAGGGTGCCGCTTCAAGATCTCGAAAACGGCCGGGCCGATTGCACCCAAATTTTGCACACCGCTCTAGACGGGCGAATAGGGTGCCGTGCACGTCAGTTTTTAGCACACCCACTCCGGTCTGCACGTGCAAGGCTCATCCTCTCGTTTGGCGGGTGGCGTTTTTGCGGCGTTACAGAGGTGCTTGCTCAAACAACCTGCGGTCCCGCGATGCGGAGCCCAGCATCGCAGATGCTGGTAGTTAAAACACTATTCTTTAGAATTGTGTTTTTCTATTGAAAAACAAATCTGAGTTCCCTGACAATTTGGCAAAAGCTGCCTGAGATCAGTACAACTTGATGCTCTTGAAAACGGCTGGTCCAAATATTCTGATTTTTTCAGGATTTCTAGTGGGCCAGGTGATCTACGTTCTGGTATGGGTCTCCCCTCCGCGGACCATCTGGTGCACGTGCCACGTGACTTTAAAAATTCCCGTGTTAAGCCAATGGGGAAAATGAAAAAATGCGTTCCACGGCAGATTGCTCGAAAACGATCCAAACGACCCCCCATTTTCTTACATGCAGATCAACCACCATTCGGTGCACTACCCATGGGTATGTCGCAAAGTGGCCGGAAAAGTCCAGAACCACGTGCCACGTGCCGTTGAAAATGACCCTGCACACCGGAAATTGGGACTTTTGGTCATTTCGGCGCACCCATGATGCATACTATGGCGTGGGTGACCAAACAATGGGTGTCATCCGGTCGGCAACTGTTTAAGGTGTCGTCCAGTGGGCCAAAGTGGTAGTTTCAAACTTTTGGGATCCACCACTCTGGGGATTCTTTTTGACAATATACTTACGTTTCTTGGCGCAATGTTCATTCCACCCAGCCGGTCGTCAATGCGTTAGATGACCCAAATGACGATTGACCTGAAGGAAGTTGGGGGCGAGGAACACGCACGTGCCATCCGTTTTTTACTCGGGCGCTTTCATCTAGGATATTTTTGCAGATACGTCAATGCGTTAGATGACCCAAATGACGATTGACCTGAAGGAAGTTGGGGGCGAGGAACACGCACGTGCCATCCGTTTTTTAATCGGGCGCTTTCATCTAGGAGATTTTTGCAGATATCTTTTTGATTTGTGAAAATGACCAGCCTAGCGGTATGCCAGCCGCTGATAAATTATTATCTTGCTGCGGCCGGGCGCTTATTTGCGGTGTTTGCGTTTGGCGGCTGGCGGGCGACTTTTAGTCGTTTTCGGTTAGCAGTTAGCGTCGGTGCGGTGCGGGCGGTTTTATTTTTTTCGGCGTTTCGGCGTTTTTTTCTGTGTGGTTTGCGGCGGTCGGGTGATTTTTTGCCGTTTGCGTTGGCTTTTCGGGCGTGCGTTTTACACGTTTTGCGGTGTTTACGTTTTGCGGCGGGCGGGCGTTTTGTGTTTTTTGCGGTGTTTGTCTTTGGCGGCGGGCGGGCGGGCGGGCGGGCGATGCGGGCGGTTTTCTTCTTTTTTTGCGTCGTTTGCGGTGTTAAATTTGTTTGCGGTTGGCGGGCGGTTTTATTGTTTTGCGGCGTTTTTGCGTTTTTTATTTGCGGTTTGCGGCGGGCGGGCGTTTGTTTATTTTTTGCGACGTTTGCGTTGGCGTTTCGGGCGTGCGTTTTGCGCGTTTTGCGGTGTTTGCGTTTTCCGGCGGGCGGGCGTTTTTCACAATTCAAAGTCCAAACCTTCGGGCCACAGCGCTCCTCGAAAAGCGCTGCCCTCGAGTATGCTGTTTGTGTGTTAAAATGTATATATCATGTGCTTCTCCTGAGGGCTTACTTTATGTCATTCATTATTGATCACCCTGTAAATATAAAAACACAGTTTTTCACTGTCCACCCTGACTGGGCCGCGGTGCAGGGCCAGTGGCCTGCACTATCCACCCTGCCTGGGCCGCGGTGCAGGGCCAGTGGGCGAGAGCGGCCGGTCACCTGGTCGGCGTCGCTGAGGTTCTTGGACTGGGCGGTGGGGAAGCCAGAGCCGTGGTCCATGGTGTGCAGATCGGCGCCGTACTCGACACACACGTCCTCGTCGATCGACGAGACGATCCGCCAGAACTCGCGCTCCACCGTCTGCGTGGGGATCATCTGTCGGGGCAGCGCACACGTCACTGGGGCACAGGTCACCCACTCCGGGGGGGGGGGGGCGCCCGGACTACAGTGGTCATCGGCCCACCCACTGCGGCCGCAGGCCACTCGCTCATCGGTGTGGTAACAAGGCCCAAGCAGTGTCTGACCGGGAACCAGGCAGCGACAGGGCGTGACGGCGCAGAGCTACGATCTACAGGCTGTTCCAAAAGGTTTACCCAGATAAATCCCTCGCATTTCTTTATCTGATGCTTATAAAGATTTACATCTTTGTAGCCAAAGGCATGGTAAACACGAAAAGCATATCAATGCTAATTCAGGAGGCAAAACAGTCTTACGCATGACTAGTAAATGGTGTAACTAAACAAGGTCGCCGGGCTTACGTGCACGGGCATGTTGAAGTAGTCCGATTTGAACTGGTCGGCCATCTCGCCAAACGTCTGCAGCGTGTACTCCTTCTGCGCCTGCTCGAACCCGAACGCCTCCTGCGGCTTCTCCACCTCGGCAGCCACGCACTGCGGGCACCGCCAGTCGCCTGCGGGCACACAGACCGGCGCTGTAGCACACACTGCCGGCATCGCCAGTAGCAGCGGCCACTGACTGAGCCAGCTCACGTGTCTGACCTGGTTTCCGTGTCTGAGGGTCACGCGCCGAGTTCGGATCACGCAGGACTCTAGAAGCCCCAAACAGACTCACGTGTGCCCCTGACGGTCTTACGAAGGTTGCTGAACTCTCGCCCGAACAGGGGGTTTCGTAGCTAACGTGTAGGTCAAATGACCTTTAACCCTCGCCGGCACAGGGGGGGGGGGTTGATGCAGCCCCCTAAGGTTTTTCGCGAATAACTCGCGTAAAAAGCGGCCGATCGCGACGAAACTTTCGGCACCCTCGCGTTGATCTATTTTACACCTAACCTGATAATTTCATGACCCTGACCCAAATGACCTTTGACCTACTTTCCGAGACCACGTTTGGCCGGAATCGCGATTCGGCGTATGTCGGCTCACATTAGCCGCACGTTTGCAGTCTTTTCGTGGTTTCAAACGTTCACACATGTGATTTGATGCTGCTCCCATGCATTAGGGTGGATGTCAAGGTCACCTGAAGGTCAAGTCAGGTAACTGACCTTTGATTTGACATTGACCTTGGTTTACTTTTTCGAGTTTTACTAGTTTCTAGGTCAGTTTTTTTTAGCTCAATTGAAATTTAGCAACCATCTGAATTTTGAACATTTACGAAGTAGTTTTGGTGCCTTCGTAACATGTTACGAAGCTGACAGAGGCGGTTGACACGTACTAAGAATACCCGTCACGACCCCCTACTGGTTGACCTGACCTGACCTGACCCGACCTGGCCTAAATGCATGAAGACATCGTCTGTGATCAAAACTGACACCGATATTCGACCCCGAAAACCCTCATAGCAGGGGCATTCCACGATAGATCGACAAAAAAACCTTGAAATTTACACCCGCATATTTTATTTTTTGCTTAAAATTGGTCTAATGGGTTGTGATGGGCGGGGAACCCAGCTGTGGCAAGGATTTTTTTCTTCGAACAACGGTTTCCGAGATATAGCCTCGGGCAGTTCCTGGAGGTCACGCTGCAACCTATGCTTGGCGGCTTATAACTCAGAAACTATTGGTTTTCTATGGTAAAAACTTGATATGGTTCAACTCGCAATCAACCAACAAACGTTTTGGCTATCTCGGATTTTCGATTTTTGAAAATTTTGATCACGTGACATCTTGACCTTTTTTCGAAGAGTGACTTAGATATTTTCCCAGCTGAAAGTCGCAATTTTGTCTGATGACGATTAAAGCCTTATCAATTGTCATTCATATGCGATAATAAAAAAGTGGCTTTCGGCCTGCGTTGACCTCAGGTCAGGTCATTTTTATGACCTTCCCATTATTACGAGCGGGAGCGACAGTGAGATCTCGAGAAAAAAGCAAGATAGCGACAAGCGGTAAACGGCACAGGGTACACATGGAAAAGGTCTACAATTTTTACTCTGGTCATTTTCAGGTCAGGTCAAAGATGACGTCACAGGGGTAAAAAGAAAGTCTAAATGGCGGCACTACATATAAATGAAGTTTTTCTCGAATAACTTTCGAAGTATCCCAGCTAGGAACAAACTAATAGCACCATCGTGATCCTCTCGTCGATCCGCATCGAAACATGTGTATGTTGACCTCGAAAGGTCAAGGTCAAAAGTTGACCTTAGGTCATGTGACCTTTAAGGTCATCATATATATCATTCGATGGGCCTTGACGAGCTGAACACAATGAGCTTATCCGCGCGGCTGTATCTCAAACCTGTAAGGAGTTATTAGCAAAAAAGCATTTGGTGACCTTTAATGACGTCACATGACCCAAGAGCAACGTCACAGTTGACCAAGAGCAAAAAAATTCTCAAGGTAGTCAAAGTTAGTCGCATATGGAGTCACTCATGGTACATGAGGCAATTCCGACGCGTTTTAGTGTAAAAATAAGGGAGCTGATTTTCCCCCAATTGACTTAAAATGGGGTGGTCAAGAAATTGACCTGACCTCAGGTCATCGGTATCGAAATTCAAAACGAACTGGCGCTAGGCGAAAGCAAACGGATTGGTGCCTTTTCTACGTGTCTTTCTTTATTAGATCAAAATGTACAGCCAAAAACGGAAAATTATTGTGTGTTCAACGCGTGACCTCGGATGACCTTTCAGCGGGTCACTGATACAAAGCTGCACCAGTGCCATCAATAATAGCCTAACTCAACATGATTTAAAGTATTTTAACCGGTCAGATGCGTTTCGGTGGTAGCCGATATTTCTGCCATTGACTTATAAAGGACAGATCAAAAAATGACCTGATCTCGGGTCAATGCACGCCGAAAGCCACTTTTTTATTGTCGCATATGAATGACAATTGATAAGGCTTTAATCGTCATCAGACAAAATTGCGACTTTCAGTTGGGAAAATATCAAGGTTACTCTTCGAAAAAAAAGATCAAGATGTCACGTGATCAAAATTTTCAAAAATCGAAAATTGGAGATAGCCAAAACGTTTGCTGGTTGATTGCGAGTTGAACCATATAAAGTTTTTACCATAGAAAACCAATAGTTTCTGAGTTATAAGCCGCCAAACATAGGGTTGCAGCGTGACCTCCAGGAATTGCCTGAGGCTATATCTCGGAAACCGTTGTTCGAAGAAAAAATCCTTGGCACAGCTGGCTTCCCCGCCCATAACAACCCATTAGACCAATTTTAAGCGAAAAATAAAATATGAGGGTGTACGGCTTTGAACGATATATCGTGGAGTGTCCCAGCAGTGACACTACGCCGTTCTAACAGGTCCCGATTTTCCTGACTTTTGGGTCATTGACCTGAGCTGTCAGGGGTTGTACTATTGGTCTCAAGATAAGGGCCCAGGCGACCTGTAATTTTGATGCGGTGAATACCCTAACCCTCACCACAGCTCGGGCCGAGTGCACCCCTCCTCCCACTCAGCGACACCCCCACTCGAGTTGTGGCGAGGGTGAGGGTATTCACCGCATCCGAACTACAGGTCGCCTGGGCCCTTATCTTGAGACCAATAGTACAACCTCTGACAGCTCAGCGCGGCCAACTTTCCTTGTCTTGGCATAATGCATAGCTGAATTGAGCAAAGTAGACATAAACAAATACAAATCCATACATGATGTGAAAACGACAGAGCGATGAATCTTCCTCTCAAGTATCCTGAACCACTTAAGTACCGACTTGAAGCGTTAAACTAACAATTATGACGTCCGTTTAGTAGGGCGACAGCGGAACGTCCCTTCCGCGGCCCGTCACACAGCCGAGAGCGCCGGGTCTGCGCGTCGATAATGGTCATTTCACGCTTTAGTGTGGCTTACTTTGATTCATCGTGACACTGAGTTGTGTAATTGCGCCTTATTGCCGGCTGTCAGCTGTGATAGACGCATATTAATATTTGATAATATTTTTCGCTACATATTGCTTTTGGCATTCAGCTTTCATTGGAAAACGAAAAACATGCCTATAATTTCAAGAATGTCCTTGACAGCTCGTTAAATAAAAAATTATTAGGTAGGTACGTACGTTTTTACAAATGCGCAATTTTTGAAAAAGGCCATCGAACGATTTCGATAAAAAATACATTTTTGGAATCAGCTCACTGTCAGCTTTCGAATGGTATATTTCGTTTCTTTGGTGGATGAAATGACTTTCCGACGAACCGTGAAGTGGGGTGCCGGAAAAATTCCGTTTGAACCTAGTTTGTACGTGCGCACGTGCAGGAGGACGTAACTGTATCTCAACAATGTTTTGGCCAATTACCCTCGAAGACAGCCGGCCCCGAGCGGACTGACGACTGAGCGGACTGACGAGCCGCCTACCTTTGGGGATCTCGATCAGCGGCGGGTTCAGGCAGAACGTGTGGTAGCTGTCGTCGCAGCCGTCACAGAGCAGCATCGACTCCTCCGAGTCGCCCTTGGTGCAGATGTGGCAGACGTAGCGCGCCAGCTGCAACCAACCGGCATCGCGTGTCAATGGCCCGCACTGACCACGGCAGTCACTCAACAATCAACACTGAACAATGATCGCCGCTGACCAATCACTGTTACAGACCACCGGCGGTAACTAGCCACTGCCAGTTACCGATTATTGACCGTCACCGGTCGTTATTTACCACACTACTTACCACTTACTACTGAGCACTGACCGACACTGACCACTGATCACTGATCGTTACTGAACACTGATCGTTACTGACCACTGACCGTCAAATACTTCAGGACGAGGCTGCTTTGGTTGGCCCTATATAGACTTCGGGTGACTATTAATTATCCACGCCAACTTACAACCGACGGGGTGGGGTATCCGCACCCCCCACCCCCCCATGAGATCTCGAAAACGAAGCAAGATAGCGACAAGCGGTAAACGGAATGGGATACACGCGGATAAAGTCTACATTTTTAATGAGGTCATTTTTAGGTCATGTCAAAGATGACGTCATAGGGGTCAAAAAAGTCAAAATAGCGCCGCTAAATATGAAGAGTGTTTTCTCGAATAACTTTCGAAGTACCCAAGTCAGGAACAAACTAATAGCACCTTCGTGATCCTCTCGTCGATCCGCATCGAAACATATATATTTTGACCTCAAAAAGGTCAAGGTCAAAGGTTGACCTCAGGTCACGTCAGCTCAAGGTCATCATGTAAATCATTCAATGCGCATTGACGAGCTGAACACAAGGAGACCATCCGCGCGGCTGTATCTCGTTCCTGTAAGAAGTTACCTATTACAGTGGAATCCGCTTAACCTTCGCCCCAGCGGGGGGAGGGCATATGTTACCACCCTGTCGCGTTTTTTTGCGTATGAATAAAACGGTGTCCGGACAAATTGCCGAAAGGCGATATACCGAATGTCATTTTGCCGAATGCATTTCGCCGAATGTCATTTTGCCGATGTGCTTTTTGCCGACGTGTCAAGAAGTCGAAATGCTAAAAGTCGAAATGGCATTTGCCGACATGCCTTTTTGCCGAAATGCCAATTTGCCGAAATGTCAATCTGCCGAAATGTCAATTTGCCGAAATGTCAATTTGCCGAAATGTCAATTTGCCGAAATGTCAATTTGTCGAAATGTCAATTTGCCGAAATGCCAATTTACCGAAATGTAGGTAAATTTGCCGAAATGTAAATTTGCCGAAATGTCAATCTGCCGAATGGGTAGTTTGCCGAAATGTCAATTAGTTGAAATATAACTTTGCCGAAATGTCAATCTGCAAACCTAGGTTAGGTTAGGTTAGGTTAGGTGGTGTTTATTTTCTTAGGACTGATCACCAATTTACTTTTGGTGCAATCCCCAAGTAAGAAGCAAATCACATGATATCCTTTGACCTCCTGATTTCATAACTAATAATTATTCATGGAACAAACAAGTTTAAAAGCACCAATACCATGTGAAAATAAACATCAAATTGCTCGTGGCGAAACAGCGCAGTGCCGAAGGCAATACCTTAGGAGAGATTACAGGCAAAGGTAAGTCAAATATTTTTAGGTTAACCCTCGCCGGCCGAGGGGGGGCGAGTGCGGGTGCCGCACCCCCATAGGTTTTTTGCGATAGCTCCGAACACGCTGGCGATAGAGAGCTGAAACTTGGCATAGCTGACCTTTTGTTTCAAGCCGGATCTTTTTACACCAACCGCATTTTCGGGTTAGGTCAGGTCACCGACCTTTGACGTCATAAGTGAACCTCTGCACGGTCTTCAGATATCGCAACTTCGCAACGCCCTCACGGCTAGAGGTGATGTCACAGGGAGATAAAACTTGCAGGATCTAGTATCCATTATGAGTTTCACAATTTGTATATCTCGGATTTTTCCTAAAGGTCATATGAGGTCAGGTCATTTTCGTGACCTCACCATTATAAGTCAATGGGGAAAAATGAAAACTGCTATTCTGGCGCCGGGAACGATCTCCAACTATCTCAAGCACACAGAATCGTGATTTGACGCACTCCTTGCAAGGTAAGGTGAGTAACTTTTGCAATGTTGACCTTGCGTGACGTCATTTATGACGTCATCAAGGTCATATTAGTTTTTCGTCAATAACTCCCGATCAAATTGAGCTAGCGAGTCGGGAAAGCCACCAATGGACTCAGGAAGACCTGCCGAATCGAATGATATGCGACATGACCTCTTTCCACCAACTTCATGACCTAGGGTGCTGACCTGACCGTGACCTTAGGTCAACACCCTAAGTTGACTTGACCCAAACAAAAATTATATCATTTGACGCGCCTAAGCAAGGCAAACACGATGCTGCCAAAATCGCGGCCCTGCGGCCCTTTCTGGCGAAGTTATTCGCCAAAAACTGAACCGTACCTTGGGGCACTTGACCTGACCTCAGAGGTCACCGGTTAACGTAGGACCTTAAAATCGTATGTCAATCTCTGCGTCTCGTAACGGCGCACACGCTCGTTTTTTTTCCGCGACGCGCCAGCTCCACCAGGGGCGAAACGACTAATAAGTATTTCGGCAAATTGGCATTTCGTTCATTATCTTGAATGGTTTTTAGCACAGTTTTGAGAGACATTATGAATATAATAAGAGATATTAACCTTACTCTCATATTAGCCAAAAGATATAAAATTTCAAAAAGACAAAATACAGTTTCGGGAGCTTTCGGCTTTGCGCCTTTATCAACCGTTATGTAATATTTAGATCATTTTCGTCACAAACTTGCATGGAACAGAAAATTCGAATTGGTACGAACATGCAGAAATCACACACGCACTTCCCAGCTACTCTTTAAAAACGCATCTATGCAAAACTTACAGAGACATAAAAGATTTATCATGAAGTGCAGAACAAGACAGTCATGTCGAAAACATGAGTCATACGTTCAGCGGAGATAGTATCTATCGTGGGTACATCATCAATAATGGGTCCCGACCCCCCGACCAACATTAAAAATATGGAGATAAGCATATATGAGGTAAGTACATGCATGCATACGATAACAGAAGTGTACAACAGCACAACCGCACGGCGCACACCCGCGCACACAAGTTTCCACGGTCAGTCAGTTTAGATATAATGACCACTCAGATGATAGGCCAAGACGAGGTTTGCGTGTTAAGAGTGGGTTGAAGTTCGCGAATAAAAATGGATTCCCAAATTTTTCTATCTGGGCCGTCTTTTGACGCATGCAGAATCTTGATTGAGACGTTTGAGCAGTCCAGTTGCACAGAGTGTTTCGTTTGGTGAAGGCCAAAAGGGGTGTCTAGTTTGTTGTTTTTTGCATCTCTCATGTGTTCATTATATCTAAGCCTGACAGATCGGCATGTTTCACCGACATACACAGACTCGCCTTGAGCGCACAGCTGACATTCCATCTGGTACACCACATTTTTTTCATGACATCTCCCACGCAACCCTGCCTCACAGCATGGACACTTCCTGCCCCCACCTGGGCAGGGTGCTGGTTGGTAGGCCACCCGCACTAGTTTTTGTTTCAGGTTGGGACCTCCTTTCCATGCAACTTTCAGGTTGAGGTGACTAGCCCTAATGATACCCTCAATCCTGTGGCTGAGTGCATCATCAATGAATGGAAGCGCAAGATAGACGGGGGCAGAGCCCGATCTAGTCGGCCTTAGGCGGTTATCACGTTGGGCTTCGTGTTGGAGCCTGCTAACTAAGTGGGGCGGGTAGCCGTTCTTTGTGAATAGGTCATGGATGAGTTTAAGGCTACGGGCTCGTGGTAGACCAGGGGAAGAGATTTTGATAGCACGTAACGTTTGTGAGCGGACGGCGTTTTTCTTAGTCGACATTGGCAGAGCTGAAAGGTAGTGAATTATCACTGGTGATGCCATCGGTTTAATGTATAGCTCACTGGAGTATGCGCCTGACTCAGAGATCGATATTTTTGTGTCCAGGAACGCCAATACTCCAGTGTCACCGGTGTGTTTGTTCTATGGTGAACTTGATGGTGGGATGGACCGTGTTTAGGAAATTGAAGTAGTCGAAGAGGGCGTCCCTACCATGCGTCCAGACTCCGAAATCGTCGTCGATATACCGTACGTACAGTGAGGGCTGTAGACGACTAGCTGACAGAAACATGGACTCTAAGGCGTTCATAAAGACTATCGCTAGCGGGGGTGCCACCCTGCTGCCCATCGCTATGCCTTGCGTCTGTCTGAAGTAGTTCTGACCAAAGCGAACGAAATTGTTGGTCAAACAGTGCTCGAGTAGCTTACGCATGCTGGACAGCTCCAGACCAAATGTTTCCACTCGGTCTACGTGGTGTTGTAGGAGTGTCAGCGTGGCATCAATGGCCTCATTTATAGGGATGTTACCGTATAGGTTAACGACATCGACACTGAACAGTATTGTGCCCCGTTCAAACCCGTGCGGATACTTAGCTGCTAAGTATCCGCACGGGTTTGAACGGGGCACAATACTGTTCAGTGTCGATGTCGTTAACCTATACGGTAACATCCCTATAAATGAGGCCATTGATGCCACGCTGACACTCCTACAACACCACGTAGACCGAGTGGAAACATTTGGTCTGGAGCTGTCCAGCATGCGTAAGCTACTCGAGCACTGTTTGACCAACAATTTCGTTCGCTTTGGTCAGAACTACTTCAGACAGACGCAAGGCATAGCGATGGGCAGCAGGGTGGCACCCCCGCTAGCGATAGTCTTTATGAACGCCTTAGAGTCCATGTTTCTGTCAGCTAGTCGTCTACAGCCCTCACTGTACGTACGGTATATCGACGACGTGTTCGGAGTCTGGACGCATGGTAGGGACGCCCTCTTCGACTACTTCAATTTCCTAAACACGGTCCATCCCACCATCAAGTTCACCATAGAACACACCGGTGACACTGGAGTATTGGCGTTCCTGGACACAAAAATATCGATCTCTGAGTCAGGCGCATACTCCAGTGAGCTATACATTAAACCGATGGCATCACCAGTGATAATTCACTACCTTTCAGCTCTGCCAATGTCGACTAAGAAAAACGCCGTCCGCTCACAAACGTTACGTGCTATCAAAATCTCTTCCCCTGGTCTACCACGAGCCCGTAGCCTTAAACTCATCCATGACCTATTCACAAAGAACGGCTACCCGCCCCACTTAGTTAGCAGGCTCCAACACGAGGCCCAACGTGATAACCGCCTAAGGCCGACTAGATCGGGCTCTGCCCCCGTCTATCTTGCGCTTCCATTCATTGATGATGCACTCAGCCACAGGATTGAGGGTATCATTAGGGCTAGTCACCTCAACCTGAAAGTTGCATGGAAAGGAGGTCCCAACCTGAAACAAAAACTAGTGCGGGCGGCCTACCAACCAGCACCCTGCCCAGGTGGGGGCAGGAAGTGTCCATGCTGTGAGGCAGGGTTGCGTGGGAGATGTCATGAAAAGAATGTGGTGTACCAGATGGAATGTCAACTGTGCGCACAAGGCGAGTCTGTGTATGTCGGTGAAACACGCCGATCTGTCAGGCTTAGATATAATGAACACATGAGAGATGCAAAAAACAACAAACTAGACACCCCTTTTGGCCTTCACCAAACGAAACACTCTGTGCAACTGGACTGCTCAAACGTCTCAATCAAGATTCTGCATGCGTCAAAAGACGGCCCAGATAGAAAAATTTGGGAATCCATTTTTATTCGCGAACTTCAACCCACTCTTAACACGCAAACCTCGTCTTGGCCTATCATCTGAGTGGTCATTATATCTAAACTGACTGACCGTGGAAACTTGTGTGCGCGGGTGTGCGCCGTGCGGTTGTGCTGTTGTACACTTCTGTTATCGTATGCATGCATGTACTTACCTCATATATGCTTATCTCCATATTTTTAATGTTGGTCGGGGGGTCGGGACCCATTATTGATGATGTACCCACGATATATACTATCTCCGCTGAACGTATGACTCATGTTTTCGACATGACTGTCTTGTTCTGCACTTCATGATAAATCTTTTATGTCTCTGTAAGTTTTGCATAGATGCGTTTTTAAAGAGTAGCTGGGAAGTGCGTGTGTGATTTCTGCATGTTCGTACCAATTCGAATTTTCTGTTCCATGCAAGTTTGTGACGAAAATGATCTAAATAATACATAACGGTTGATAAAGGCGCAAAGCCGAAAGCTCCCGAAACTGTATTTTGTCTTTTTGAAATTTTATATCTTTTGGCTAATATGAGAGTAAGGTTAATATCTCTTATTAAATTGGCATTTCGGCAAATGGCATTTCGACTTTTTGACACGTCGGCAAAAAGCACATCGGCAAAATGACATTCGCCGAAATACATTCGGCAAAATAACATTCGGCAAATCGCCTTTCAGCAATTACCACTTCGGCCGGCGTGTATGTAGAAAACCAATAGGTCCGGTGAGGGTTAACCCGATTAGTGGCAGGCTCCTGGCTACATTGTTGTGTAGGTATCTGGCCTCAGGCCGAAGGCCTGCAGCCTGATGCACAATCACTTAACCTAAAAATACTTGACTTATCATTGTCTGCAATCCATTCATGTGAGTAGCTTCTCCCTTATCCACGGGTAGGCAAAAAACAGTAGGTCAGGTTAGGTAAGGTTTGGTTATGTTTTTCTTATACTTTGGTGAGATGTAAGTGGGTTTCTTTACCTTTGAAAAGCGAGTCGGTCTTAAAGTTAATACTTACGGGTCAGGTTAGGTTAGTTTAGGTTAGGTTAGGTTAATTTCGGCTAATTGGCATTTCGGCAAATTGACATTTCGACTAACTGACTTTTCGGTAAATTGACCTTTCGGCAAATTTACATTTCGACTAATTAGCATTTCGGCAAATTAGTATTTCGGCGAATTGACATTTCGACTAATTGACTTTTCAGTAAATTGACATTTCGGCAAATTGACATTTCGACAAATTTACATTTCGACTAATTAGCATTTCGGTAAATTAGCATTTCGGTAAATTAGCATTTCGGCGAATTGACATTTCGACTAATTGCCTTTTCGGCAAATTGACATTTTCGGCTTATTGCACGTCGGCAAAAAGGCATGTCGGCAAATTGCATTTCGACTTTTAGCACTTCGCCCTTTTGACACGTCGGCAAAAAGACACGTCGGCAAAATGCATTCGACATATTGACATTCGGCGAATAAGCATTCGGCAAAATGCAGTTCGGCAAATTGTCCTGTAACCGAATAAAACACCGCGGCGCCGCTTGGAGTAGCTTTTTGTACATCAATTTTGGACAATGCGTGAAATTTTTGACCCCAGGTCATGTCAGGTCAGGTCACCAGGTCAAGGTAACTGACCAAGCCTAAAAAAGTTTGCAATCATGTCCAGCCTGCAGTGTTTGTCAGAAACGTTTTAAACTTGGTGGATTGCATGATGTTATGGGCGCCTAAAAATTGTACAGGGTGTCTCAAAAGTTCGTTGACAGGTACCAGCCATGCTTTTTTTGTCAATAATTCTAAATCAACAATTAATTAACGGTCGAAATTTTGCATGGGCATTCGTAACAACCTTCCTCAAGCAGTCTCATTGTTTTCAAGCGCATTCGATCCTTCATGAGCTCACAAAAAAGGGTTCATTTCTGACCATGGGTCAGGCATGAAAATGGAGGTCGCAAAATCGGGTCGGCTGAGAAACTCTCTATTTCAGAAGTAATGGGAATGGTTAAGTCGGAAATGACCCATGGCAAACTGTCGGCGAGGATGACTACAACATGATGATCATCTAATAAAAACGGCGGCTAAAATTTTTGAAGGACAAAACCATGCGAGACTAATAGCGTTTCGAACGACCCTCGTACGGCAGCAGACTCGTGCTCCGGAAAGCAGCTGAAAATGAAGTCATAACTATTGAAAACTACAGAGCTACAGGTGACAAAGTTGCCAAAAAGTTATTTGAGGTTGGGTCATTCGAACTGACCTGGTGACTTGACTTTGAAAGGTAGGAGGTTTAAACTTGCTCACAATGTATGTGTAAAATTGATGGTGGAATAGTCAGGCAAACTTTCGCGACGCTACGCGCCGCGGTTTTCCCGCTATTTACGAAAGCCCTCAGGGGGGGGGGGGGATATCCGCCGACCCATCACTGAGCACTGACCGTTACTGACCACCGACCATCCAGTCGCCGCCGCGACACACAGCCACCACTCACGCACCGGGTCAATGTCGTACAGGATCTTCTTGGCCCTGGGTTTGCTCTTGTTGTTCTCCTGGTAGCCGGACATCTTGGGCCCGGCGCCGTAGAACTGGAGCCGCTTGAGCTCCTTGTTGTTGGGCCCCTGGTCGGCCAGCTCCTGTCGGCACAGAGCGGCAGACACTCACACAGGCCACAGCACCACCAAGCTCGCCGCCTTCACAACCTCAGCAGACAATGTGCCACGCACACAGAGCCACCAGCGACCGGGGAAGATGCGGGCCCGCTGGTTATCTGTGAAATGGCAAAACAGAGTCTACAAACTTCGACATATTTGCTATTGCCGGCGACATGTAGTGCGACCAATCAGCCTCCTGTCCTCTGCTCGCTATTTCACATCTCCTAAAGAAATGCAGATACCGCAATTTCGAAGGGGATTGTCGAAAACGTTCCGGGTAAGTCATGGGACATCAAAATGCATTTAATGTCTTCTACCCTCGATATTGTCAACAGTAGGTCGATAGGTACCAGTAAAACGCCTTTTGGGGCGAAGAACAAGCGAGCGAGATAGTGAGCCCTGCACGTGCGGAAGGGCGAGAGGGTACTTCCAACGGGCTTGTGCAAAGCACCCTTCTAACCGGTCGCTAGCGGTGTACCAAATTTGAACGTAATCGGCCCAGCCGTTCCTGAGATCTGGAAGCGGCATTCTGCACGTGCGTACGCGCAAATGGGGTCCAAACTGACTTTTGCACGGCACCCTACTAACCGGTCCCCAACCGTGTACCAAATTTGAGCGCAATCGGCCCAGCCGTTCTCGAGATCTGGAAGCGCCCCCTGCACGTGCGCACGTGCAGTAGCACCTTAACCGCAACACATGGGAATGCATTGCCTGGTGGGTGCCTACCTGTATGCCAAGTTTCAGCGAAATCGCCCCAGTAATTACCGAGTTATTGAAATGGGAACAAATTTGGCCCCTCTTCTTTTTGTATTTTGCACGTGCAGTGGAGGTCACTCACATAGATCAAGAGTATCCGACCTTTGGTAGAAGGGATGCAGCTACCCTACAAAAATTACCGCAAGACAATCGCCCAAGCAGCTGCTGAGATATGAGCCTCTCAAAATCATTACTTTTGCAAAACAGCTTGAACACCCTTGACTTTTCACGTGGCACGTGCCACGACGGTCTTCGGTACTGCCTGTGACGGGGCGGGCCTTACACCAGCCACCGAGCCGCCCATCCCAGACCAGCCACCGAGCCGCCCATCCCAGACCAGCCACCGAGCCGCCCATCCCAGACCAGCCACCGAGCCGCCCATCCCAGACCAGCCACCGAGCCGCCCATCCCAGACCAGCCACCGAGCCGCCCATCCCAGACCAGCCACCGAGCCGCCCAGACCAGACCAGCCACCGAGCCGTCCACTCACCTGGACGGCATCGTGGTCCAGCGTGGTGTCCTGGGGGCGCGACACGCGCCGCGTGCCGGCCAGCTTCTTAGCCGGGTCGTCCGGTGACGCCTTCCCCGCCTCGGGCACCGCTGACTGGTCAGCAGCTGTCGGCTGCTGTGGGTAGGGTGACAGTCAGCTGTGGGTAGGGTGACAGCTGTGGGTAGGTAGACAGCTGAGGGTAGGGTGACAGCTGAGGGTAGGGTGACAGCTGAGGGTATGGTGACAGTCAGCTGTGGGTAGGGTGACAGTCAGCTGTGGGTAGGGTGACAGCTGTGGGTAGGTAGACAGCTGAGGGTAGGGTGACAGCTGAGGGTAGGGTGACAGCTGAGGGTATGGTGACAGTCAGCTGTGGGTAGGGTGACAGCTGTGGGTAGGGTGACAGCTGTGGGTATGGTGACAGCTGTGGGTATGGTGACAGCTGTGGGTAGGGTGACAGCTGTGGGTAGGGTGACAGCTGAGGGTAGGGTGACAGTCAGCTGTGGGTAGGGTGACAGCTGAGGGTAGGGTGACAGCTGAGGGTAGGGTGGCAGCTGTGGGTAGGGTGACAGCTGTGGGTAGGGTGACAGTTAGCTATGGGTAGTGTGGCAGTCAGCCGTGGGTAGGTAGACAGTCTGCTGTGGGCACTGGTGTCAATTGTATACTTTTGGTGGGTCCTCGGCCCCCAATGCTGAGTTCGTCCCCCAGTGCTACTCTCGCCCCCCCCCCCCCCCCCGCCAGTGTTTTTCTGATTTTCGCACTTAAGCAATGCCTATATGCATGCAACGTTAAAGATTCTTGCTTTCAGTGGCTTCGTGCTTTTGTCAAGTTTTTCCTCAATTTGGTATCAATTATTTTACTACAGATTTACAGACAGATACAGCAGATTACAGATTACCATAACACGCGGCGAATTTAGCGAAGTGCAAAACCAAGATTCCTACAGATATGCAAAACCACGTCGAGCTATTGGGCTTGTTCTTAGAGTTTTGTGGGAGGTCGAAAATGTGTTGATTTGGACGCCGCATCTGGACGCCGGGGCTATCGGTGGCTGGACAGAGACGGCGAGGGGGACACTTTGGTAGGAATTCTCTGTTCTGATAGTTTTGTTGACAGGTGCTGCCGCCAGCGCTAAACGCTGGCGCGGAGACATATCATTTAAATATAAAGCATGTGCCACTCGGTGTTTACAGCTGGAGCTGAGTGTTTACAGCTGGAGCTGAGTGTTTACAGCTGGAGCTGAGTGTTTACAGATGGAGCTGAGTGTTTACACCTGGAGCTGAGTGTTTACAGCTGGAGCTGAGTGTTAACAGATGGAGCTGAGTGTTTACACCTGGAGCTGAGTGTTTACAGCTGGAGCTGAGTGTTTACAGCTGGAGCTGAGTGTTTACAGATGGAGCTGAGTGTTTACAGCTGGAGCTGAGTGTTTACAGCTGGAGCTGAATGACCGAGCTTGATATCTGATTACGGTATCGTGGTGGCTGCTGTGGTCACACCCCGCTCTATAGCATGGAGCCGCCGCTGAGCCGGCGCCGGTATCATATGCAGTCTGGGCTGTGGCCGCCCGGGCCACCGCCTGAATACAGCTCTCGGCCCGGGCCACCGCCTGAATACAGCTCTCGGCCCGGGCCACCGCCTGAATACAGCTCTCGGCCCGGGCAACCGCCTGAATACAGCTCTCGGCCCGGGCCACCGCCTGAATACAGCTCTCGGCCCGGGCCACCGCACAGTGGGCCGATATGCCATTCCAGCGCGACAGGGCCTGAATCCTCGAACGGAACCCTTGGTTTTTCGCGAGTAATTCGCGTAAAAAAGCAGCCGATCGCAACGAAACTTTCAGTACCCTCGCGATAACTACTTTTACAGCTACCCTTAAAATTTCATGACCCTGACCTTAATGATCTTTGACCTGTGACCTTCTTTCAAGACCATGTTTGGCCGGAATCGCGATTCAGCGTATGTCGGCTCGCATTAGCCGCGGGTTTGCAGTCTTTCCTTGGTTTAAAGCGTTCAGAAATGGGATATTATGTTGCTCCCATGCTTTAGGGTGGGTGTCAAGGTCACCAGAAGGTCAGGTAAGGTCATTGACCTTTGATGACCTTGATTCACTTTTTCGAGTTTTACATGTTTCTAGGCTAGTTTTTGCAGTGGCGGTTCGCCCATTAAGGCAACTCAGGCAGTGCCTAACCAGAATTTTCTGGGTTAGATTTCTGCCTTTTTGTTTTGTTTTTTAAATTAAAAATATTTTTTCCCCAATGATTTTAGTAGTTTGATAACATATAGTTACCCTACTAACACCAACATTCAACTTATGCACGTACTATTCGCTATAATTTTTATGCAGCCTAGTGTGCAATAATTTAGCTGCCTCATGTCCAGATTCCTGCATTCAATTTACATGGGCTGGCAACTCCAGAAATGTTGGGCTATCAGGCACGCCTAACCTGCCTTTCTTGGCGATAATCATTGAGAAAGGACAAGATTCGAACAAGACCTGCCAAGAAATTTGGCTAGTTCTTGGCGGTTAGACTGGCATCGTCTCGTTTCTGAACGTTTTTGTTGTGCGATCTGTTTATGCCACGTGATAGTTGGTGGGATTGCTATGTTATTTTACTTGTGGTTGTTCCTGTCCTAGCATGTTTGTTTCATGTTGGTTTCAACATTTTAATAGGTACTTTTAAATGAAAGGAAGACATGTCTGGCCCAAGCATCGTTGATGAGCTGCTAAGGAATAGTTTTGCTAGTAGAAGCTAGGTATGTTGAGAAGGTGAAAATTGTTCAGGATGGGCGGCCGAAACCAGATCTTAAGTGGGAAGCTCAGGTAAGTGGAGTGGTCAAGACACCAGAGTATTCATTCACCATACCTTCCCTTGACTGTGGCTGATCTATTGAACAAAAAAAGGCATACATTGCAAATTAAAAACACAATGGCATCACAAAAATAGCAATGCGGAATCACAGGTGGATCTAGGTGGATCCTAGTGGTCCATTGGGGTCATGGCCCTCCTCCCAAAGGTTTTAATTTTATAGTGATAAGTGAGGGTATCATATTTTGTATACTTCAAATTTGTATTAAACTGAAACTGCATTGACAGACGAGGCATACATATTCATTTGACATTTCAGTTTCACCTCTTGTTGTGTTGTTTAATTTTGATTTAAATTGTTGTGCTGAATTGCTGCATTGGCTGTTTTAATAGTGTATTTTGATGAATGTACTTGAATCAAAATTGGTGTCATTTGTTTCATTTTGCTAATTACTTGTTTGGTTGTTTTGAGTGATTTGTGGAATGTGGAAATCATTCAGTTACCTATGACTTGACTAGTTATGCTATCCTGAATTATGTAGACTGGTGTCAGAGTGAAATGCATGGAACATGTCTAGGCTGTTTTTTGTGGATATGCTGATGCTGATGTGCTGATTTTGATAGTCATTTATAATAATTGTTCTGCTTCACCCATGTTTAGAATTGGAATGGGTGTGCAGGAAGTGAAATCTAGTCATCAAACTTTAATATGTTGTTGACAAGGCACAAGTGGGATATTCCACTTTCCAGGAACTGTACATGTATCAGTTCAAGATGGTCCATATCTAATGATTTTCAATGTACCTACCTAATAGACCATATTAACACACTCAATGTTTAATGTTGGAAAAACATAGAAAGGTGAATCCAGTGTTTATGCTTGAAAACGAATCACATTGTTGTTTCATGGTCAGTGTTTGGCTGTATGGGCTGTTTTTAAATTTGGCTTTTAATATTGCACTGCAAAGTGCAATCTTTACCATGCCAACTGAACCTTTCTCTGATTCAGCATCATGCTGAGATGATGGTTCCATTTGCATTTGTCATAAAATGTACATATGATTGCATTGGATTAGATTGGTGCTTGCAGCCCATATAGCTAATTAGGTACATCTTTGCTAGGACCAGTACCTAAATGTGGCTATCTTGAAGCTTGTATCCTTAATTTGTACATGATTTTTGCAGTTGGTACTGCTTTATACTATTTATGAGTTTATACTATTTATGAATTAGCACCATGCATACTATTTGTGCTCTTGTAGATTGTACACTACACACCTTTGCTATATGAAAATGTACTTCCTGTTGTTGTTTTTAATATGGGTTGGAAATGGGCTTTAAATTATGGGCAATGACCTTATTTAAAGTTTGACACTTGATGCACTTAAAAAGACAACTGGGAAAGGTCTTTCCTTTGAATGCAGATGGTGGTAGTGGTGGTGCTGAAGCATGAGATGTGGTGGTGGTGGTGGTAGTAGTGGTGATGGTGATGGTGGTGATGGTGGTGGTGATGGGTATGGTGGTAGTGGTGGTATGATTGTGGTTGTGCATGATTTTTCCCATTTGAAGCTGGGAGTGAAGATCTGCCTTGCCTAAAAAGGCTTCTACCCCTTCCTTGTTGTATGCAGTATGGGAAAACCAAGCGGAGATTCAACCCGGAGTTCTACGAGAAGCGCGAGTGGCTGACGGCACCGGGAGAGGGAGCGCCACGCCTGCTCTGCTGGCCAAATTAGGGGCAAATTAAGCTTGGTGATAACTCCTTGGGGTACCTCGACTCCCACCTGGCCATGACAGAGTGCCTAACCGGTCACGAGGGGCTGGCGCCGCCACTGAGTTTTTGGAGCTGAACTCGAAACTAGCAACCATTTGAACATTTACCATGTAGCTTTGGTGCCTTCGTAACATGTTACAAAGCTGTCAGAGGCGGTTGCCACCTACTGCAAATACCCGGCAAAACCCTTACTGATTGACCTGACCTGACCTGACCCGACCTGGCCTTAATGTATGAAGACATCATCTATGATCGTAAATAACATTATATTCGTGATCAGCACCCAAAAAACCCATAGCAGCCACCCTTTACGACGTTCTAACAGGTTCTACAACAGTAACAGGTTCCTAACGGGGGGGGCGGATATCCGCCCCCCCCCCCGTCGTTGCGCGTGTTAATATCGTTCGTTATCTGCTTAAAAAAGGCCGAAATATGCATAAATAAAATACAGTAACAATAACTACACGTTAGATACTGAAATACTGGCAGTTCTAATTACCTACTTAACAGTTCAGCAAAGCTTACAAATTTTCTTTAACCCGCGCCCTGCTGGGGGGGGG